CGGCCTCATCGGCTGGGGCAAAACACTCTACGACCCGACCTGTTCCTTCGCTTGCCGCAATGTCATCAGAAAGCAAACTCTCGCCTGCACGCCCGTCGACTCAAGCGCGAACCACGGTACAGCCCACAATCCAGTCTCGACGCCGCCGAAATGCTTCGTCTCGGATCACGTCTTTCTGCTCACTATGGCTCTCTGCATCGACACCTACTGCCCACTGAGCGAGAACCCACCGATGGCCAAGCTGGAAGACTATTGGGCATCCCATCTCGGGACCGGTACAATAGGCAACTACAAATACACTCCTACCATGTCATACCAGGAGGCTCTGGCTGCTGCGCGCGAGGAAGAATCAAAGGCTGCTCAAAACACCAACTCTTCGTCTTCAGGCTCCGACAGTGGAGGACACACCAACCACCGCAGAGCTCCTCCAGTACGACTTGCGGTCCGCCATGGAGACATGGCAATGGACTCAGCCGACGCCCTGACAGTTTTCAATGTCTCCAGCCCCCTCCCCAAGGCAGCAGGCGGTTCCAAGCCTCTCAATACCACCAGCTTTGTCGGTCCCACTGAGTGGCAGCTTCAGTGGAACTACATGCACGACTTTGAGACAAACGAGGCAGGCCACTCGACTGTCACTATCGTCATCACTCTGGTCGCCGTCCTCCTCCCAGTCGCCCTCTCGGCGCTCCGCTTCATTCCAGGTTTCACAAAGAACTTTGCATGGACGTACTGGCAGACTTTGCTGATTCATCCCGCCGCCTTCGGTCGCCGTCATCGCGAGCCTGTCGCCGGGATCGGCAACATCCCAACCCGTGGCCAGGCATTGTACATCTTCGTACTGAGCTTCCTCAACATCATCCTCTGGCTCGGCCCATACACCATTCACCAGCCACAGGCCAGCTTCACATCTCTGAAGATGCAGAGCATCAGCATCATCGGCAATCGTGCCGGTGTAATGGCCATGGGCAACTTTGTAGCGCTGTTTCTATTCGCCGCCCGCAACAATGTCCTGCTTTATCTGACAGACTGGAGCTACAGTACTTACTTACTGCTCCACCGCTGGCTAGCCTACTGGGCCATCTTCCACACCATCGTCCACTCCTTCATGCTCCTCGCCAACTACATCCTTCAAGGCACCTACGAGGCCGAGCTTGCCCGTCAGTACTGGATCTGGGGCATCGTCGGTACCGTCGCCGTCAGCGCCATCCTGCCCTTCTCGCTGTTGTGGGTGCGCCAGCGCTTCTACGAGCTCTTCCTCGCTTCTCACGTCGTTTTGTCGATCCTCTTCATCGTCGGGTATTACTACCATATCTGGTACGTCTACGAGTACAACTGGGGCTACGAGATCTGGATCTTCGTCGCCGGCGGGATCTGGGGCGCCGACCGGCTCTTCCGTCTTGTCCGCACTTTTTGGCAGGGTTTGAGATGGGCCACCATCACCACGGTTGATGATGTCGATGGTGAATACATCCGCATCGAGGTGGAGGGGAAACGCCTCGATGGCGGGGTAGTCTACCTCGGCTTTCCTACCCTCAGCTGGCGTTTCTGGGAGACACATCCATTTTCTGTGGCATATTCCGGTCTGAACGAGGCCATTACTGAGTCGAGGACTCCGGAATCTCCAGTCTCGACTCCGATCAGGGATGACAAGACCGAGGCCGAATCCCCGACGGTCGAAGCTGACCCCGAAAAGGGCATCAACGCCCAACCAAACACAGTCACAACACCCGCACGAGGGCGCGCAGACACTACAGTCTTTTACTCTCGCACCCGCAGTGGCATGACGCGTGCGCTAGCTGCCAAGGCATCCGCTTCTACCCGCATTCGTGTCCTTCTCGAGGGCCCCTACGAACATTCAGGCCACGTCTCGGCACAAATCGCCCACTGCACCGATATGATCTGCATCGCCGGCGGCGTCGGAATTACTGCGTGCCTTCCCTTTGTCCGCAACCGCCCTGCTGCGGGTAGCACGTCGCTCTTCTGGTCCAGTCGCCACCAAGGCCTTATCACGGCTCTAGCACCAGCCCTTCACAGCCTCCCAAGCAGTGTCAAGGTTGAAGCGAGCGTCGGGGAGAGACTGAAGTTAGATGCCACCCTCACTAGGGAGATGACTGCTGTCTCTGGTGGTGCGCTGGCTGTTGTTGTCTGTGGCCCGCCCAGCATGGCGGATGATGTCCGCAGTAAGATTGTTGAAATCACGAGGAACGACTCAAGGAGCAGGCCTTATGTTTTGGTGGACGAAGCGTTTGCTTGGTAGACACAGTTTATATTTACAGAAGACCTTTCCATTTTTGATTCCCGAAGGACTTCATTTGTCCACGAGTTTGTACGTAAACCGCTCTCTAATCTCACGATCCAATCTCAGACACTCTTTTCTTCCCTTCCTGCTCGCAATGATCACGTACCCGACGCACCACAGCTCACTCGACTCCGGCCCCTGTACCACTTCACCCTTCTCTTTCACAGTCTGATAATGCACAACATGGCGCTCAATATCAGAGTTCGCCTCGAGGAACTCCTTCACCGCATCATCAGACCCCATAACTCCTGCCTTAGTAGGAGCGAGTACTGAGATGCCCAATGTGTACTGAGGGACGCCACGCAGAAAAGGCTTTGAAAGCGCCCGCACTCGTGCATCTTCCTCCGAGCCGAGACTGAGCAGCAGCCGTATGGCGTAGTAATCGACGCCATGTGCGAGCAGAGCCGCCACGCAGTTGATGTACCCCGGCGGGCGGGCGTTAACCTCGTGCAAATAGCAAGACAGAGCTTCAGCAGATACATCTTGCCGTATGCGCAGATCTAGGACCCCGTCATCAGGGTCGACGGCATAGTACGCCCGCGACCCGCGGACCCTGGCCTCGCAGTGGAACACGCCGGACTCGAACCCAAGACGCGCGATGCTTTTGGCCAGTGAGTCCCGCATCATGGCTCTCTCCTCGACAGGCAGCGCAGAGGGCACGTCCATGAGTGTCTCCATGAAGTTTGCAGCTCTGGTTCGGTCCATCCCTGGAATGTCGGCGGAGCAGGGGAAATCATCCGTCACATCACAGAAGAGCACTTCTCCGTTCAACACAACAAAGTTTGCGTCAATCTCTGGTCCATCGATGTACGGCTCGATCACCACGCTCGTGCTCCGTGCCGCAGATGTGGCGTGTCGATCCGATGCGCGCTTCACAGCAGCCCGCAGCTCGCCCTCGTCGCGTACTTTGACTACGCAGTCGCTATTCCAACCGGTGCAAGGCTTGACAATGAGGGGATATTTCAGTCCTTTCACCTTCTCTGTCATTATTGCGTCGAGCTCTTCCGCTGTTTGCAGCACAAATCCATCTTCCTCTCCACACGCAGCGGCTTCAATCTCCCGCGAGACACCCTTATTTCCCGCCCTCAAATATGCTGCAGAACTGGACGTGGGCAGTCCCAAAATCTCACACGCACGCGCGACGAGAGGCAACCGCACGTCACTAATACACACGATGCCATTGACTGGATGCGGATACGCGCGCACGGCATCAACAACGCGCTGGGTGAGGCCGTCGTCTGCAGCGATGCTGACGGGGAGGAAGGCCTCGCGGTAGTGCGCGTGCGGGCCGGCGTCGTCTTCAAGCCAATGCCCCAGCTCGTCGAGGACAACGAGGGTGATGCCGAGGGCGCAGGCAGCTTGGTAGAACTGCCGGCTTGCTTCGATGTTGGCGCGGCCTTGGACCCAGAAAACGCGCTTTTGTGTGAGTTTCTGTGGGACCGTCCAGGGTATGGAGAGTCTCTTAGTGAACTCATCGTCTAGACGGGCGCGGAGGGCTTGGAATGTGTCCTTTGGGTCGGTGGCGCGCGCGATGACGCCGCCGACTGAGCTTCGGAGCAGGGAGAGGAAGTCCTCTTTTGTGGTGACATTGATTGCTTGATCTGGGCTTGTTGATGCTACGGAGTGCAATGGGGCGAGGAAACTCGTAATCTTTTGAGCGACCTCAAGGCCATGGAGTCTGTAGGAGAGGAAGTCCGGTCTGATGATGGTACCAGCGTCCGTTGAGAAGAGTAGCCTCAGGAACGTAGCTTGGGAGAGATCTTGTTTGACGAGGCTTTGTAGTAGATCAGCGGCGACATTGGTCTCATCCTGGTCGACTATGAAGTTCTGCTGGCCAGGCTCTTGTCGAGCTGTGAGCACAAGATCGAAATGCCAATAGCTCTGTCTGTCGTGCGTAGCGGCAGTTCCTGAGCTTGGCTGAACGGCTTGCAGCGTCACGTCTGACCTCGATGTTAGTTCGGAGTGACAACCAAGCCCAGAAAATGTTGCTCACCTTGCCCATCATCTCCCCTGAGCATTAAACTCCACCCAAGGCTGGTCATTTGGTTCGTAAGGTGTGCCTGAAGCGCCACCGACTTGCAGCAAAAGCAACGATTCCGCGACGGCGTGAAGAGATGACCGAGATTGCGACCTAATAAACTTCTTTTCCGGCTTTCCATCGACAGCAGCCGGTACACCCTCATAAGACACCTAACAAATGACTCACCCCGGTCTCAGACCATCCCATCGGGACCAGGGGTCAAGTAAGGTTCGGCACGTGTACGCCAAAGGAGCTGTAAGATCCGTGAATGAGCAAGTTCTTTTGGCTCATGAGCCCTAGGTCGTGCAGCTTCGCTTCGCGGGGCTGAAGATTCTCAGCTCATTGAGCAAGTTTAGTAATTGGTTCTGGGTAAGATTGGAACCGCCGAGACTTCTAGACGGGGTCTTGGCTCTTGGCACTGTGCTGCACTGTTGCATCAGGGAAAGCCGAGGCTGCATGCCGAACGTCGTACCTCCATCCTGTTCGAGTTAGTGAAGATTGCACCATGTAAGCCGCTGGAGGATCTGGTCTCGCGATGATAGCCGCGGCTGCCGTACATGAGACTGAGATGTCTGGACGAATGTAGCTTGATTTTATGGTAAATGATTGTACACAGTTCCTTTCCTGTCTCCTGATACCCAGGTGACGCCGTAATAAAGCCGATTTTATTCATGTTGGAAAATGTCTGTCCAGGACAATGTCTTCAGCGGACCGAATTCAGTCATCGACTATTTCGACCCCGACAAGAACCCCCCTCTGCCTCTCGTTGAGATTCCAGACCGTTTAAACCCTTTCCGAGAAGATGGAGTCAGGATGTACGCAAAAATGCTCACCTGTCTGCCTGCGCAGAATGTCAAGTCTCTGCCTGGTGCGTTTTCTCTTCCAAATCCTCCTGTGACCAAAGCATGACGCGCGGCATTCATAGCTCTGAAAATGCTGCGAGAAAAGCCGCACGCCCACGATAGGAAGATTGTCGAGGCAAGCTCTGGGTCGACTGTGCTGTCTCTCGGCATCATTTCAAGGGTGCTCTGGGGAAATGAAGATGTGGACGCCTATGTTACGAACAAAAAGCCGCCAGAGTCGCTGAATCTGCTTCGTTTCTTTGGTATCAGACCGTGAGTTCCCATTTCAAGAGACAGGGGGCGAGAAGCCTTTCTCTGACGTGGAATCTTTTCAGGTGTCTCTATGGTGGCCTAGCACAGCAAGAACCCACTGATCCCACAGGCATCATGTGCAGGCTCCGGAAGCGGGCGGCGCAAGACGAGAATATGGTGTACCCCGGGCAGTATGACAATTCCAACGTACGACCTCCTGGCTTTGTAGTAGAATCCAAGAGCTGACGAGTGAGAAGAATTGGAAAGCTCATGAGGAGTGGACAGGCCCTCAAATTTTCAAACAGCTGCCTCAAATCAATATCTTTTGTTCCACTGTCGGTACCGGAGGTGAGGTCAGCCGATGCTATATTCTCTTTCAGTTGACAAATAGATTATCAGGCGTAATTACGGGCACGGGAGTATACCTCAAGTCCCGCAAGCCATCAGTCAAGGTCCTTGGGTTAGTCTACGTATGCATGTGATGACTTAGCTCCGGAAACTAACGATCAGCAAGCGTCTTCAACAAATTCGGGGACCCGACGCCTGGACCCAGGCACTTCCACGGCTTCCATACCTCCGGCTTTCCATGGCAAGGCACAGTCGACAGTCGCATCGAAGTTTCATCAGTTGACTCGTACCGCATGTCCATGCGCCTCTCCCGAGAAGGACTCATCTGTGGCCCGTCGTCAGGGGAGGCACTTCACGGACTACTAGAGTACATCTCCATGCTGAAGCATACCAACAGCCTGGTACAGCTGAGAGACGGGCAAACAGGAGAGATCTCATGCGTCTTCACTTGCAGCGATCTCCCGTACCAGTACCTGCCAATCTACCATCAAAAGCTTGGGGCTGACGAGTTTCCACCGATTGAGAACGAGGTTCGTCCCAATCGCAGAGTACCTGTGTTGTCTGGCTAACATGAGCATCACAGATACTCTTGCAATGCGATCAAAATCGACATGATGAGAGATGGATCTTGGATGCGCGGAAAGCGGCCGGCGTCATCTTTGGCACAGCAGAACCGCACTCATGCCAGAAAGATGCTCTCGAAGTCAGCATCGAAACAGTTGAGGATGTCCCGGTTCGAGTGCCACCGAAGGCTCGCTCCTGGATTTCCTTCATCATTAACCTCATCTTCCCAGAAAAGCACCATGTCGACGTCGACTGCTGCTCGCGCCATTCCCGCAGCGTGATCTCACCATCAATCTTGGTCCTGGACCTCCGTAGCCCGTCCGCGTTCAAGGCTCGACATATACCGGGTTCGTCCTCGGTACCCTTGGTCGGTATGGCGCCAGATCTGGCTGACGGTGACCTTTTTGGAGATGCGAGATCTGTTCACATGATATGCGTGCAGATTCAAGAAGCAGTTGCCGCACCTCTTGTTGCTGAGTGGCTGCGTGCTGCGAGAGAAAGTCAGAAGGCTGTTGTATGTGTTTGTTACAATGGCGACGCAGGCAAACTTGCATCCTCAGCACTTCGTGCTCTTAACTTTGAGGCCTTCAGCATTGATGGTGGTATGGAAGCACTCTGGCCTGAGCTGGAACGTCCGAAGCTAGCTTGAAGATGTAACCCCAACCCTAACCCTAGTCGTGGGGAGTGCGGTCTTTGGAGCGGCTGTCGCCTAGTGAAGGTTTTACGTTGAATTCCACTGGGGTGTACTTATGCTTCTAATTTACTTCGGAGGTTTCAGCTTTGTGGGCTCAGTCCTTATACAGAGGTTGCTAAGCTTGTCCTGTCTCTCGAAAGGTGGACAAGTTTCGACTTAAGATCAGACTCTCGGCTTCACAGTCCGTCGTTCTACCGCTCAATCAATAGTGCTAGTCTTCAAAGCGGCCGGTAGAGCTTAACCACAGCATTTAATTGGGTTGTTTTTCTTGCTAAATCGTCACAAATACAGGTTCCACGTAGGAATGTGTTTAAGAAATATGCTTAACATACTCTTTATGCATAATCATCAAATGACGGTTCCAGCATCTACTTGCTGGTATTCTTGCAGACCAATATCAGTAGGATTACACAATCTTTCATAGGTACGGGTTCTGTTGTAACGACAGGAGTAGGTTCTTATATACTTCAATCGAGGACGCCAGACCTGACCAAACTAGATATCCCAGATCGTTGGAGCATTGCGACTATGCCTTTGGCGGCTGACTCTAAATAATGTTCGAATGAAGCTTCGTGGTGTGCGATAGAGGATTTGACATCGTATAATTTATGTTTTACGCGGTGAAAATGTCGTAGGCTCTCTAATTATGCGCTATCACCTGTGAGATCGGCTGCGTTAGGGCATTAGCGCTACATCAGCAATACCTTCTCTAAGTTCCCATCGTCTATGCGCATTCACGAAAACGTACGCAAGGCCCGCAGTAGTATCGGTCGTTGCGCTGAGAGTCCGTTGAGAGTCCGGTGAGAGTCCGTTGAAGGATGTGGGCGCTGTACAAGCACTAAAGGGTTGATATGGGCAGGAGGACACAGGTAGATCTAAATCATAAACAGCTCAGATATAACATACTTAGGCATGGGGAGTCTGCATGTATCTTTTACTATGATACAGGAAGGGGAGAAGAAAGGTGACGCGGTATAGCAAGGCATTTACCCTAACCCGTACCCTAACCCTAAGCCAAAATGTGGCACCAAACATGGTCTACTCAGAAAGAAGGTATTGCTCTTTTTCGCGCCCTTAACTATACATATTAAGTGCAGCAAGTATGATAGCACATTCCAAAGGCTTTCATCTGTTGAGTATCGGTTTCGAACTCCCTGACCGCTGATTATGACTTGATTACTAAGATGCATTGCTCTTTATAAACTATCCCTCAGCCAGCATCATACATTATAATTTGTTGGTTAAGAAAGTTCGCGTCATCCCGTTCGCTCCATGGGGTGACTATTTCAATCTCAGCGAAACCTAGTCACTCAGCATCGGCGGTTGCGGTCGGGGCTTCCTCCATCGAGTCGTTATGAGGTTGAGCAACCTACATTGCACTGGGGGCCTGAGAGCTACACATTGCACAGAATTCCATATGTATTTCATTAATCAGCATGTCTTTCAACTCGCAGTTGTCTCCTTAAAGTTTCTTCCTGCACATAAAACGACTTACACGGGGACCGCATGTCGTCAAACCAAGCTCGTGCCGATCTCCACCTCTGTCGCGCCACATCCGAGACCGGCGCCAGGGGTTCGAACAAGCTCAGAAATAAGCTTATTACCCATGCTCGTCCCGCATCCCCACCGACACCACCCGATCTCCCAAGCTCCACTGTGTACCATCCCCTGTAACATTCCCTGTCTGCGCTAAACCAGGGATGCCCCACACAGTCGCACGCCCCGTTCAAGGGTGCTGCCCCTGATCGCCGCCCACGCCCTCCCCCCCTGAGGGTGCCCGTTCAGGTACCTTACGTACAGTGAAGTCACTGCTGTCGGAGTTCCTTTTTGAGGATGGCGGCCCACCACAGGCTGATCACCCCTGTCTTGGTGCGCCTCAGTGCCTCGCCACACATGGAGGGATTCAATCTGGGGCCGACGCGTCGGTTGCACTGGCAACGGGAGGGGCAGCTGAAGGGTTGGAGTGGTCTGATTGGATGTCGAGCGGATGGGTTTCCAACTACACTGGATGCAATTGAGACGAAATGGTTGTCAATCAAGCTGGCCTATGGACATGAATCAAGCGAAACAGGATTAAATAAGAAAATCATCTTCATGTGGTGTGCGAATGAAAACTCACACGTTCTCGCCGATGGGAATGCAGATCGAATGAGAACTATGGGCGCAAGCCGCGCACACACAGAACTCAGCTTTCTGCGAGACAATTGCCCAAAGACAAAACCGTGGATTAAGAATGTCCGTTTCTTATTTAGAAGTATGAGGTAAAATATAAGGTACAAGTCCGAAGAGAATAAATATAACGAATAGAAAACGCACGCGGCCCGCACCCTGCGCCGAATCAGCAACACCGTCTCGCCCCCCGAAACACTTCCACAAACCTCCCCAGATTCTCGATCAAAGTCCAAATCGTATCTACAAGCACTGAGAATACCACTCGCTCGACTTAGTGCACGTCGACCTGGCCGCGCAGGCAGTGGGGCCGGTGTACCCCGCGCCGCCGCACTGGGCCCACTTCGCAGCCGAGGCAGACTCAGTGGTGGCGGTGGCAGCGGGGGCAGCGACGGAAGTAGCCGACGCAACGGGCTCAGAGACCTCTTCCGCCGCATCCTCCTTGACGGCGGGCGCAGCAGACGCAGAAGCAGAAGCGGAAGCAGTGGCGGCAGGCGTCGTCGCGGAGGAGGCCTTCGTCCAGCCGCGGCTGCGCGAGAGCTCGTACCACCAGTTACGATACATCCATCCGTCAAAGTCGGTGATCTCCATGGAGGAGCCCGCGAGCATGATGAAGTTGGACATGCCGGTCGGGGTCCAGTCGTAGACTATTTTTCGCGTCAGTCAGCAAGCAACCATCTTTGAAGTTCGAAAAGACTCACAATCATCCAGACCGAAGGTGTGTCCCATCTCATGCAGCAAGATGTGAATACTCTCAGACTCCAGGTTGTTAATCGTGTACTCCCGCCCAATCTGCTGTCCCCAATCATACCCGAACCCGCCCTCAAGCCCGTCCGTCAGCCACAAGCTGTGCTCGAACCGCCGGTCCGCCCCAGCCTTGCACCCGCTGAAGTCCCCATCAATATGCGCCGCGCGATCGCACTCCGTCGCGCACGCCGGGACGCCGTCCCCATCTTTATACGTGGTATACACGTCCAGCCCATCGGTGCTGCCCTCCAGCAGACTCGCGTCCTTGACCGCCCACGCAACCACATTCACATCCACCTTCGCAAACGGGAACCCGTCGTATCCGTACAGCCATTTGAACCACTTCTGGTACTGCGCCGCGTACGCGCTCGCGATCTTGCTGCGCTGCGCGGCCGTCACCGTCGCGGAGGAGTCACAGCGCACGCAGATGTTGAGGCTGCCGTTGGTCGCTACCAGCTGGTCCCAGCCCCAGTACTTGTTGCCCGTGACGGCGCCGTCGTAGGTGGACTCGTAGTGCGCCCAGACTTCTTTGAGGGGCGCGGCCAGGGCGGAGGGCGGGGAGAAGCCGGACTGGCGCTTGGTCGGGCGGTTGCGGGTCTGCGGGGAGAGGAGGCTGCGCGCGGCGGCGTGCGGGGCGGGGTGGTGGTTGGCGAGGGAGGACCAGACGGCCGGGTCGAGGTCGGCTTTGGAGCGGGAGGGGGAGGGGTGGGCGAGGGTGGTGGCCGCGAGGGCGAGGAGGAGGGATGAGGTCAGGGAGGGCATGGGTAATGAGTGTGGTGTAATGAGTGTGGTGTAATGAGTGACTGGGTGAAAGGTTGCACGGGCAGAACGTGAGCCAGTCAGTTCTCCCGGTAGAGTGAAGGAAAAGAAGGCGGGTGGAGGGATGCGAGAGAACGAGGGACTCGGGTGCGCTTGACGGCGAGATACATATGAAGGCTGTCGAGCGTAGGCGAGTGAAGCCATTTTCGAGAGTTGCAGCGGGTCATCGCCAAGACGGTTTCTCGTGGGACAGCGTGAGTCCGACCTATGCTCGAATTGATGACCGACTTGAACCGTTCATAGGTGGGTTTTCGCGTGTAAGTGAGGTGGGAGCCGGTAGTGCGCGTCCTCTGATTGGCCCGGACCAGGGTCGGCGGATTAAGAAAATTACAGGACCGCCGCCGCCCTCGGATGCGGCCGATTCTGGGAGTTTGCGGATCCACACACGGCCGGGCCCGGGGCTCGGCGTCGAGTATTGATTTGCGCCAAGGCGCTACGGGAGGCGTACCGAGCCCTGGGGTCGTGGGATGGGAAGGTCTCGCCTTTTTTACTGCGGGCTTATGTCATGATTGGGGACTGGTGTTTGTCCCTTTTGCGAATACTCGTGTTGGGGGTGACTTTTGAAATTGAACAGCGAGATGACGGCCCCTTTTTCTTTCAGTGATCCTGTGGTTCGGGTTGTGGGCGGAGGGGAGCTGAGCATCTAGATTCGCTTTTCTGTGGATTTCGTTGTGGAAGAAGTGCCATGAAGTTGACTCATTGTTTGCGGCTGACAAGCATTTCTAAGAAACCCTGTCGAAATGAAGCTCCATTGCTGGAACTCGAATAAACTGTGACATGCTTGGCAGACACCATCCCCAAGCACATCACAGCGCAACTATCGTCACACGATCCCCAAGCCCCGCATCAACAGTTGATCGTCCCGCCAAGCCTCTGATCTCTGGTACGCTTAGACCTTGGCCACGATGTTCGACAGCCAACAAGATCAAAACTCTCCGCATACAATGACCTAGCCACGTTTTTCTAACGTCGCATGGCATCTACTCATCATCCGCAGATTTCTCAGCCAGTAAACTGCAAACGCGAACGTGTGGCTTTCCTCCGCGACCGAGGTGGTGGGAACAAACATCAGCGTCATCTCGCTTACCGCAGAAATCATCGCACATCGTTTCCCCGTCAGGATGTACCTCATTCCACTCCGTGAACTGCTGACTCGAAAATTCAGCATACGACGAAAGTTCACAAAGTTCGAATAGACTTTTGTGAACTAACGTCCCACACCCACTTTTGGCCACCCCCCACATTTGGCCACCCCAAAAATGCCTCACCGCCATGATGACCACCAACTTCAACCTTCCACAACTTCACCAATTTTAATCCAATCGCCCTCATCTTTCGTATATATCTTCTTTTGATCAAGATGCCTCAATATACCGAAGATGACATTAACCAGGCTCTTGAAGCTATCGCACACGGTACTAGCGTTAAAAAAGCTGCATTTGAATGGGGTATACCACGATCGACGCTGAAAAATCATATGAAGGGTCATCAGGCAAGGGATATAGCCTTTTCTGATCTGCAAAGGCTTTCTCCAACCCAGGAAAGTCATCTGGCTGAATGGGTTCGAATCTAGGCTGCCTTAGGCCTTCCTCCAACCCATCAGCAACTCAAGGACTTTGCTGAACGCATCCTACAGATCCATGGAGACTCCCAGCCTCTTGGAAAGAACTGGGTACAGTCTTTTATTAAGAGAAACCCATCTGTAAGGGTCCAAAGAAGCAGAGCAATCGATTCCCAGCGTACTAATGGAGCTTCAACTAATATAATCAGGCAATAGTTCAAGCACCTCGCCATACCTGAGATCATGGCTATCAAGGCTTACAATCGATACAATATGGATGAGACTGGTATCCTAGAAGGTAGAGGATCAAATGGGCTTGTTCTTAGATTGTCAGAAACTTGTTCTATCTGCAAGAAACAGCCTGGATCGCATGCTTAGACATCTCTGATCGAGTGTATCTCTGCAACTAGCAAGGCACTGCCTCCACTTGTTATATATAAGGGTAAGAATGTCGAGCAGCAGTGGTTCCCTCTTGAACTGACGCTATATGAATCCTGGAAGTTTAAAGCTATAGAAAATGGGTGGACTTCAGACTCTATAGCTGTTAAGTGGTTAACAGAGGTCTTCATCCCTTTAACCTAGCTAGGGGACCCCTTAGAGGCCAGATTATTGATCTTAGATGGTCATAGAAGCTATAAGACTACTTCTTTCATATATATATGCTCCAGGAACAAGATACACTTGCTGTTCTTACTAGTATATACGTCACACGTCCTTCAGCCACTTGATCAGTTGGTTTTTAGGCCCCTTAAGGCATTATATAAGAAGGAGCTTGGATTACTGGCTGAATGGGATGCTGGTATAGTTGTGGGCAAGAGAAATTTCGTTATATGCTATGGCAAGGCGCGTAAGGCAGCCCTGATAAGCAAGAATATTATTAGTGGCTGGAAATAGACTGGTTTGTGGCCTGTCAGTATGGCTAGACCCCTCATGAGCCCTCTGCTGCTTGAGAACATGTTAACCCCTGCCAAACCAGCTGGTCAGGTCTGCAAAGGGCTCTCTGATGGTAAAGCAAGCGAAAAATAGGCGGCAGATATATCAGCAGTCCCTTGGTTAACCCCTAAGAAGAGGGATGAGCTTCAGGATCAGTTCAGCCTGTTCAGTAAGCTGGATACCGATGAGCATACGCAGCGCCTGCTTTTTCGGAAGGTTCAAAAGGGCTTTGATGAGAAGGCATACCAACTGGCAGTAGCCCAACGAAAAATTGAGGCACTACAAGCAGAGGTTGATGCCAGTAGGGTCAGGAAACGGAAGAAGGTCAAAATGAGCCCAAATTCGAAGTTTGCCGATATTGAGGCCATTCGGAGGGCTCAAATCGAGGCGGGCGAACTTGAAAGTAGCACAGATGAATCCAGCGAGTCTGAAAACCCTAGTGACAGCGAAAGTTGCATCGTCGTGGCATCATAATACATATAAATATTGGTTGAAGTTGATGTGTATAAATGTGAGGGCATCAAAAATGGGGTGACCAAATGTGGGGGGTGGCCAAAAGTGGGTGTGGGACGTTAAACACAAACACATGCATGTAATTAAGCTTGATTTTCGGAACTGAAACTAAAAACCACTTCCCGACCCACCCTAACGCCGATCCCAAATCGCAGCAGCAAAACCAAACCCAAAAAAAGGCAGAGAAAATATCACCACCACCACCAACCACCACCACTTAATCCTTCACAACCCAAAGACAAACAACCGGCTTTCCCCCCGGCTGCCCCGTCCTCGTCCCATCCCACCCGACATCCTTCAAACACTTCTTCATCATATCCTTATCGTCCCCGGCAAAGCACAAACCCTTGTACCACTTCCCGTTGCCCGCCTGCACGATCTCGTAGCACTTGTTCTTCTTGGGCACGGGGTTCGTCGCGCCAAACCCCTTGAGAAGCTCCGCCAGGGGCGTGTTGACGGGCACGTGGAACGCCGCGAACTGGATGCGCGCGTTGGCCGGCAGCTGCCACGGCGGCGTGGTGCTCCGGAACACGTGGATCTTGGTGTGCGCGGCGGGAAAGAAGTAGTTGTACCCGGGCTCGCAGCCGGTGCCGCCTGTCGAGTTGGAGAGGTGCGCGGCCGGGTTGCGCGGGTCGAGCGCGGGGAGGCCGGAGGTGGTGGTGCGCGCGTAGGGGTGGGCTTGGCCAGAGGGCTGGAGGGGGTAGGTTGTGTAGCCGCCGGGCGGGGGTGCGGAGGGGGTGGACCAGGAGTAGGATGTCGCGCCGGGGTAGGGCGAGGCCGGGGGTTGGTAGTAGTATTGGGAGGGTTGGTAGGGGTAGCCGTAGGAGGCGGAGGTCCAGCCCGGGTGGGGGATGTAGGGCTCGCCGTAGCGGGGGAGCTGGTAGCCGGTGTTGGGGCCCCAAGGAGGACGGCGGGCGTCGGCGTCAGGGCCGTTGACGGGGTTCGACATTGTGTCAGACGGGGTGGTGGTGCGGTTGCCAGGTGTTTACCCAGTTGTTGATGCGGGGGTCGTATTGCGTGATCCAGTGGCCGGGGACAGGTCCTGCGAGCGTTGGATCCCAGAGGCGGTGGTTGTGAGTTGAAGCGGAAGTGTTGAAACGGAGGCTGTTGGAGAACCGGCCAGTCAATTCTTGTTCTGCGGATGAGCCTGTGGAGGGTGTAAGCTGGCAATTTATAAGACAGAAATATGTTTGCAAGCAAGCAGTGAATAAGTCTGCGTGGACGGCAGTGACTCACCCGAGTCAGACGACGAGACTGATTGCGAATCTGTCTGGTCGCCGCGTGTGTCGCGCTGAAAGGCAAAGATTTCGGTGCTCCAGACGGGGTTGTTGTCTGGATCGTAAAAAGTCCCGACGATGAGCCAGCCCCAGTGCGGAGGATCGCGCGAGCAGACGTAGTACTGGCCGATGATCAACTTGGTTGCGGGGTACGGGAGGTACTCTGGCTCATCTTCGGAGGAGTGTTGGGAAGCCACGGTGACAGATGATGAGGTGATGAGGTTGATTGAAAGCTGAAACTGGGCAGCTGGAGAAGAGGCTTTTGTGTGATGTTGATGCTGGCATGTTTGCGACAGAAGCAGCCGATGACGACAAATTTATAACAGTCTCGGGGTAAAGCCGGGTGAGTGAATCATTGATTTCCAGAACGCTATGTGTGATCGAGAGTGACGAGGAAGCTGGATCTCTATGAGACCAAAGGTCATTCGCGGGCGTGACATGCCGTACGCTGCTTGATTCGGCAGTATTGTAATGAGATGAATACGCAGCTGACGTGCATGTCGGTGAATCACTCCGACTGGACGTTTCCTTCAAGGTGCACAACTGAGCCGTCCGCAACAATTCAGTCGCAAACTCGACTTGCATGAGATTCGCTCTGAGTCCATGTTTGGGTGATTGTGATGTATTGCTATGCTTGGGTGGTGTGGCGTGAAGTGGCGCTCCTTCTGTGGCTGACGCCGACGCCAAATTCCTTCTGGTGAGGCCTGTCCGTCCGCCAATAAGAAGCTGTCCCCGTCTGAGCTCCCAAGTCTCCACCTTGCCATCTTTGATTGGCAATCTCGCTCTGAAGTCGCGATCTTCATCAAACGTGTTGATGCAGTTGCGTTTTCTCGAACGCCCTGCGAATCTGGCGAATGCCTGCCCGGCGTTCTTCCATCTCCCAGTGGTTCCAAGTCTGCGGTGTTGTGGTGACCAGTAGCAGGAAACTGCCTCCTCCAAATCGTGAACCCGTCGGACAAGTCGACTGCTTCGACGGTGGGGCGCAGTCGACATGGGGTGCCTCCGGCATTCCCGCGTTGCTCTCAGCAGTCCTCCAAACCGCCGCTGCGCTCTGCCCTCAGCCCATCCAGCTCATCGTGCTCGTGTAAACATCCTCTCCGTGACCACCGCTCAATCCTCCACCTCGACATCCTCCTCAACAACCCTCACCCCGCCCGCTTTCTTCAGCTCCTCCACCTCCCGCCGCACCATCTTCCGCCTCTCCACCTCCGTGACCAATCCCTTGAGGTACACCTCCGCCTGCACCGTCGCGCTGTAGCTCATCGCCGTCCAGCTCCACATGTTCCTTCTCTCGGCATCCGCGCCCGCGGCCAGCAGCGTCCTCAGCACCAACAAGTTCCCGTTCCCGCTCGCAAAGTGCAGCGCCGTGTTGCCGTCCAGATCCGCCCTCATCACCGCGTCGCGCGCGCCGCCAGGGACGTAGGTCAGCAGGATCTGAAGCACCGTGTCGTGGCCGCCGCGGGAGGCCTCCATGATGGCGTCGCGCCAGCGGATGTCGCGGCGCAGGATGACGTGCGGGGTGCGCTCGCAGAGGAAGTGGACGACGTCGGTGTGGCCGGCGGCGGCGGCGAGCATGAGGGCGGTCTGGTGCGACTCGTTGAGGGCCGGGTCGGGGTCTTCGTGGCCGGCGTCGAGGAGGACGCGGCAGATGGGCAGGTGGCCGAGGGAGGCGGCGAGGTGGAGGTTCGAGTTGGAGAGGCCGAGCGGGGAGGGGTCGGGGTTGTGGAGGAGGCCTGGGTGGGATTTGAGGATGCGCTTGACGAGGAGGGGGTCGTTGGCCGTGATGGCGCGGCGGACGCGGAGGGAGGGCTCGATCCTGGGGGGTGGCGGTTAGCTGATGTTACGTCACTGGCGGGTGTGGGAGATTGCGTACATGGTTGTGATGGAGCGGTCTAGCAAGATTGTGGAAGTTTCCTGTTGGAAGTTGTGACCGTAGGCATCGCTGTCGGGAAGAGAAAAACGAAGGGCGTCGCGATGGTGGTGGTGGTGGTGGGGGAAGGAGAAAGGATGGCAGGTCAGAGTTAGGATGAAAGCGAGAAATTGGGTTGGTGACAGACAGGAGCTGAACTTAGCTGCGGCGGGCGTGGGAAGCCCCCTGAAAACGGCAGGGATGGCCAAGGGGCAGCGGCAACCAGGTCGTATTAGCGGGGGGAGGCGGGGGCTTTTTTTGGGAGGTCCAGCGTCACTGCCCCCTCGGTCGCCGGGCTCACCTTGATCGATTCGGTGAGGGCCGTGCACACCGAGCTGGTGAATGATGAGATGCTGAATTGACTTTGATCTGATGCATTTGACAAAATTTGGAACTTCTGGATAGTTGTGCTTGAGGTTTTTCTTCTCGCTTTGTTCGTGAGCTTTTTACCTACTTCATTTCAACACTTATTCAACACTTCACACAGCGTCATGGTGTGGCTGTTGTGGCAGCGCATTGTGGCTGGAGCAAGCCTAATCAACCAGAAACCGAGTTGATTGAATCTCATTGCCGTTATCAATACGCTTCGTCTATGTAACTCTAGACTTTTTATTCATCCAAATCAAAAATCAACCTCACACAGCAGCCGCATACGGCGTACCAAAGGGCTGCAGCGTCGTCCCCTCAATGTCAATGTAGCCATACTTGGATCCATCACTGTTCTCCGCCATACCCTGCGCCCACTTCTGCAGCGACTTCTCAAACACCTCCTTGTACTTGTCCTGGCTGACATCCAGCGGCTCCTTGTCCTTGCCCACCAGCCGGATCCTGCATCTTCATTAGCAATCCCATCTTCTCAAATCAGACGGAAGAAACTTACTGCGTGCCAGCCAACATATTCGTCAGCCCGAAATCATCCTCCCCAAGCAGCGTCTTCACCGAGCTCCCCGCCTTGCCCTCGATGATCTTCTTCGGCAGATCAAACTCGTTGCACACCGGCCGCGCCAGACCCACCCCGTGCACCGTCTCCAGCGCCTTCACCATCGCGCCCACCGTCCGCAGCCCGCCGGTCACATACACCCTTGTCTTATTCAGCTTGCCCACGATCTGCTCCGCAAACTCCAAAAAGAACGCCTCGCGCTTCTTCGTCGACTCGCGCTTGTGCTCGAACGCCAGCGACTGGTACGTGCCGCCCGACAGCTCCACAAAATCAAACTTGTGCTCCTCCAGCAGCGCGCACAGCTCGCTGCAGTCCTCCGTCGAGAACCCGCCCTCCTGGAACTCGACCGAGTTGACCTTGATCCCGATGCTGAAGCTGGGATCCGTCACGCGCTCACGAATCGCAGCCGCAATCTCCAGAATAATCTGCGCGCGGTTGGCGAGCGACCCGCCGTACTTGTCCGTGCGCTTGTTCGTCGTCGGCGAGAGGAACTGCGCCAGCAGATACCCGTGCGCGCCGTGCAGCTGCACGCCGTCGAAGCCAGCTTTGTAGCAGTACTCCGCCGCGTGCGCGAACCCGCCAATCACCTTCTCAAAGTCCTCCGGGCCCATCGCGCGCGGCTTGCCGAAGGTCATCCCCATCACCTCGCCCTCGAGCTGCACGTCGCTCGCGGAGATGGGGTGCGGATTGATGTTGCTCGCGACCTGGCGGCCGGGGTGGCTCAGCTGCGCGTGGACCAGGCTGCCGTGCTTCTTCGCGGCCTCGGCGACGCTGCGGAAGCCCTCGAAGCGCTCGCCGGAGAAGGGCGCCGCGGGCGGGATGATGGGGTTGCCGGCGGCCTCGAGCTGGTCGTAGTCGATCATGACGTTGCCGGTGAGGATGAGGCCGGAGCCGCCCTCGCCCCAGCGGCGGTAGACGTTGACGAGCTCCGGGGTGGGGACGCCGCGGGCGGAGGGGTTGGCGGGGTCCCAGGTCGAGAGGCGCTCGGTCATGGCGCCCTTGAGGAAGCGGTTGGGGGCCGTTTTGCCCGAGAAGGGCAGCGGGAGGGGCGCCGCGAGGGGGGAGGGGTCGACGGCCTCGGCGGGGTATCGTGTCGGCGACATTGTGGTATTACAGTCTAATTTCGATGCGTGTCTAAGTTTGACTAGAGAGAGTCGGGAGCATGAGAGAGAGGGGATGAGCGGTCTGGGAGGTTTTATGTCCAGCTGCGATGGAAGCCCAGTTAATTCCACATCCCCTGAGGCAGAGCGGAGCAACTGACGTGCCATGCTTTGAAACCGCCCACGATGCTTTGTAATGGATCTTCGCCCTCCCCTCCGACGCCACCATGAGAGCATTACATTCTCTAGCGTTGGAGACCAGACGGGGGTGGCCCTTCTAGACGGCGGTCGGGTGCGAAGTGCGGCCCGGCAGCGTCTGCCCTAGCGCCGTGCCCGCTCGGCATTCGGAGGGTGCTTCTCGGGGCTGCTCATTGGCTCAGGCGAAGCAAACACCGAACTGAAAGGAACCCACATCTGCCGTGGACGTCCGTGGAATCGAGAGTAGAGATGCTGGACTCTTGCAGAATCGCATCGGGCCTCGGCAGTCTGGCGTCAAACGGAGGAATTGGAATGCTGATTGGCGAACTGGAGGGGAGTCGTGTGCGTCATGGTGTGGGGGGGGGCCCTGTTGCTGCCTGCGGTGAGTGACTGCAGTGGGATGCACCAAGCTTTCGCGCCCGTGAGATTTCTAATCTGACGACCGCGGGCTCGGGGATCTATCCGGCCGATGCACTCGGGATTTTAGTTGATGCGCCTTAGGAGGCTTCCTCTTACGGTGTGTTTTATCTCTTTATGGTCTTGACTGCTTTCTGTGATGGGCGAGTTGGCGATTCAGGTACTCGTTTTCTTTGAGAAATGGATGCGCTGATGTCATTGCAACGAAACAATTTGTCACTGCAAAACAAAGACTCTTCTTTATTCAGCAATGGACGCTGGAAAAAGCGGGATAGATAGAATGAAATGAGACACGAAACGCGTCTGCTCGAATTTCAATTATTCCTTATAAACTGTGTAGTCAGCAGGCACGGTATTGACTCTAACCATCCATTTCAGCCAGCCAGCACTTGTGCAGAAAACAGACAGGCATTCACACGATTGAAGGAACGAGCAAAAAGATGCGCCGAGGGGGAATCGAACCCCCGGCTCCCCGACGCTGCTTGATGGCAACGGAGAATTTTACCACTAAACCATCGGCGCGGCATCTCGTGCGAAATCCATTGCGGGTCCTCTATGGACGTCGCAAGCGGTGAAGCGGGTCAAGTTGCTGTCTTGCGCAGAACATCGTGAAAATCCCGGCATAGATCCATTGGCGGGATCCAAATAGCACGCACTTTTGCTCAAAGATACATCAGACGGATTTGATCCAAAAACTTCAAATTTTGACATTTTAATCTCGACATATCTAAGCCCACTTGACCGCCACATTCCACACCCGCCTCCCCCTCGCATCCAGCGCCTTCTCCGTCGCACCACTTACAACTCTCTCCTCGCCCACGGGCAACACCACGTCGACGCCCTTCTCAGCCCACAACGGCTTCCACTTCGCCCCGTCGCCCGCGACAACCTCGCCCCGCACCGCAACCTTAATATCGTCGCTGACAATCTCGTACGTGACGGTGAACTTGTATTCAGCAGGCTGCTCGCGGCTGATACCATCGTCCTCAAACCACGCATCCTGAAACACGACGCCCTTGACGTTCTCCTCGGACACGCTCTCCGCCGTGCCGTCGCCGCGCTGCACCGGCGGCGGGAAGATCTCCACCCCGCGCCAGTCGTCCTTCGCCGTGCCGGGGAACTCCGGGTCCTCCTGTGCCGCCGCCGTTGTCGGGAGCGGCTTGCCCACCGGCACGGCGCCGCCGATGCGCGCGAGGACGGGGATGGAGGCGTACCACGGCGCGAGCACGGTGTGCCACTCGCCCGCGGCAAAGTGCTCGTACGGCGCGTTCGTGTTGAGGAACCCGAAATCCTGCGCGGCGCCGCCCTTCTTGGGGAGGTACACCCTCGCGGAGTCCGCGCCGGGCTCGTACACGCCACCGATGAGGAGCGTGTCGCCGAACCAGTACTGCGTGTCGCCGGCCTTGACGGCGGGCGTCCACACCTCCGGGTCGGCCTCGTAGCCCCAGCCGGTCCAGCGCTGCGGCGGCACCGCGGTGGCGTGCGCGCGCAGGTTGAGGGAGTAGGTGTAGGGCACGAGCTCGTAGCGGCGCTTGACGGCGGCGCGGATGGTCGGGGTCGCGGCGGGGTACATCCACGGCTCGATGACGCCGCCGACGAGGTTGTCCTCGTCCGAGGTCTTGAAGCAGTTGATGGCGAAGCGGGGCGAGTGCACGCCGAGCTGGATCCAGCGGACGAGGTGCTCGGGGGTCGGCTGCGGGCCCTCGAAGCCGCCGATGTCGTGGCCGTAGCAGTGGAGGAGCGAGAAGGAGGCGTTGAGGGCGAGGGAGTTGCCGCCCTTCATGGACGCCCAGGCGGTGACGTTGTCGCCGGACCAGGAGCTGCCGCAGTACTTCATGGTGCCGGCGGTGGCGCTGCGGGTGAGGACGAGGGGCCGCTCGTCGGGCTTGCCCTCGATGGTGGCGTCGTGGGAGGCCTTGCCCATGAGCTCGGTGTGGATGGCGCGGCCCCAGATGCCGACGTCCTTGCGGTCGAGGCCGGCGGGGATTGGGACGAGGTCGGTCTTCTCGAGGGCGCACTGCCACTGGTCGTCGGGGACGGTGTACTCGTTGTTGTCGTTCCACATGACGTCGATGCCGACCTTCTTGAGGCCGACGACGCCGTCGTACCACCACTGGTAGCCGGCGTTGCTGGTGAAGTCGATGTGGCTGCCCTCGCCGCTCTCGCCGCCGCCGGCGCTCCAGAGGCGGGTGACGGCGGTCCTGCCGGTCTTGGGGTCCTTGAAGAAGGCGCCGGCCTCGGAGAGCTTCTTGTACTCGGGGTGGGTGGCGAGGACGTAGGGCTTGATGTTGGCGAGCAGGCGGACGCCGTGGGCGTGGGCCTCCTTGGTGAAGGCGCGCGGGTCGGGGAAGCGGTGGCGGTTCCAGGTGAAGACGTTGCGGGTCTTGGGCTCGACCTCGGCGACGGTGTAGCCGGAGCTCATCTGGAAGGCGGTGCAGGGGATGTCGTGCTTCTCGCAGTTTGCGATGAAGCCCATGATGCAGTCGTGGGCGCGGGGGGTGTCCTCCATGCTGTACTTCATGCCGCCGCCGATGTAGCCCATCATGTAGCGGGGCACGCGAAGGGGGAAGCCGACGAGCTCGGCGTAGGAGCGGACGACGTCGGCGACGGTCTGGCCGACGATGATGTACTCCTCGAGGCCGCCGTGGGCCTGGCGATGGACCTTGTAGGCGCCCCACATGCCGTCGAGCTCGGAGCCGATGGACCACGTGGAGCGGGAGTGGGCGGTGGAGAAGATGCCGACGGCGCCGGCGTCCTGGGTGACGTTGATGAGGAGGGGGATGTGCTTGTAGAGCGGGTCGGTGCGGTAGGCGTCGTAGCCGAAGGTGTCGGAGGCGGAGATGGTGAAGCCGCGGCCGGAGAGGTCCATGGGGGCGGCCTTCTCGCCGAGGCCGACGTGGAGGGTGCCCTTCTTGCAGACGGAGTAGTGAGCGACGCCGGCGCCGTCGGCTGAGTAGGAACGGAAGGGGAGGTCCTGGTGGAGGGGTTTCTTGGTGGTGGCATCCTTGAGGTCGATGGACAGGATGGGCGCGTTGGACCACTCGATGGAGGCCTTTGCGGCGGAGGTTGTGAAGGAGCGGGAGGTCTTGTCCGATGTTGAGGCGACGTCCTTCGGGCACGAGGCTGGACTCGGGCGCTGGGCGCTGGCGAAGGGGGGGATCGGGCGCGAGGCGGAGGAGTAGGTGGTGCGGAAGACGTTCGGGCGGACGACCTCGAATGTGAAGGTGAACGGCTCGATCTCGGCGTCGGAGGACTGCAGCTGCAGCGAGGCCGGGGCGAGGGCGGCGCCCTGTGCGGCCTCTTGCGGCGCGTACTTTACTGGTGTTCTCTCGTTTTGGAGGAGCATTTTGGAGCGTGTGGTTTGGGTCAAGAAGCTGCAAGCTCAGAGACAGACGTCAATGTCTTGGTGCGTGATGCTTTTATTGTCGAGGAGGGGGAGGGGTAGTGGGGTGGTGCACGCGCATTGGCGAATCGAGGGGAGTTACGTGACGATTGAGGGGTCGTTGGGGGGACGGCAATGGCGACGCGTCTGGGCCGGTCTCGGGGACTGTCGGCCGACATTCTGTGACGCTGGGTCGGATGGAGACCGAGACGACACGAGGCAGTATGGCGAAGGAGGGTTAGAGTTGACGGATGGTGAGCACGATGCCGTCGTGGTGTTTGGATTCGTGAGAATGACAGGCCGAAGAGTGTCGTGTCGGGATTGCGGGGTGTAATTGGAGAAGGCTCCCCCGACTTTTCGCGCGGAACCCCACTTCCCCAAGGGGAACGGCCGGGATGTGTGCGGGGGGAGAGTCATGCTGTGGCCGTATCAGGAACGAGAATCGGACTCGTCGGTGGGGGCGCGTCGCAATTATTGTGGATTTGGAGTGTCGTGTCGGCGGCTGCTTTCCTGAATGGGGGCGGCACGTCGGCTGGGTACTTGATTGGGGGCGGCATTCTCGACTGATGGCGGGAAGGCGGCGGGCTAACGAGAACAGGAGCGGGAACAAACCGGAGACACTTTGCTCGTGAAGGCTTTGCTTTGGTCGGGGGCGCTTGGAATTGTTTCTTACCTAGGTTAGTCTCGGGGTTCGCAGCGCACGCCGGAAACCGTTTCCCAGCTCTGGCTCTTTGCGTCACTGACAATCCCTTGATTACTTGCAAGACGAACGTATTCAATACCTTACGTTCTAATGGGCAATCCTTCTTCCCCCGCACTGCTCCTCACGACGCTTTCACCAAAAAGCTGGGCGGTTCGTTGGGGAAGGGGACATCTCGTAGCGCTGCTGTCTCACAAAATGTCAAAAGGGCCCCCACCCCCGACGTTGGACCAATGAAAAGGCCAGCTGGGGTCCCCGACATCCCCAAAGTCGCCCTCATTTCCCCGCGCGGAGAAGGGCCCCGTG